TGGAAAACCTGAGTCTCAGGCTTGTTATTAACTTGAAGACAAGGAAAAGTGTTTTTGAGAACGATGCAAATTACCCCAAAGCTCAGGCAAGTTTCTCCAGAGTCCTTTCAAATTTCTGCTTCAAGATTTTCAAAAACAGTTTTAATTATGTTTTGATCAATTCACACATGACTAGTGATTTATAAAAAAGCTTTCTTCAGACGTATCACTTAAGATGAGGAAAGCTTACATTTACACACTGCAGTGGGCTCAAGAAGCATGTCAGAACCACCGTCATCTCATTACAATTTCAAAGAAACAAACAGGTGTGCCCGCCCCTACCGCTCTTTCCCACTGCCACCTCCTGGACTAGGGCAGGGCAGAACTGGGCCAGTCCTATTCTGATCCCACCCCACTGCTGGGGGCCCAGCGCCCACCAATCAGCAACTTTGAAGGTATCTGAGGAGCCCAGGCTTCACCCCCACCATCCAGGGAGACAGGATGGCCGCCCACCAGCCAGGAGACCATCTTCCTAACTGCTTCCTTCCAGAGCCCTAACAGATAAGGGTTCACCCCTCCTGCAGCAGGACTGACGGTTGTCTTCTCAAACTCCAGTGACTCCGCCACTATGGCAGGGTTCACTGCCCTGGAGCACAGTGAGAAAAGACACCCCCAAAAGGCCTGTGGGCGCCTCTTCTGGTTGCTGCTATAAAATGTGAGGATCATCAGTCCCAAAGACACCCACATGGGCATGGGACATCATCTCAGGCCACATCACCAAGACAGCTATGTCCACACTAAAGAGATGGGGACAGCCAGGACAGAAGGTGGGACAGAGAGAGAGGAGGAGGGAGCGCCTGCTTGTCCACCGAGGGCCTACCCCAAGCCAGCAGTGGGGAAGCAACCTCAGAGACATCACTTCATCTGTCGCTGAGCAGAGATGCCCCAAAGTTATTTTTCTTTCTTCTTTTCAAATTCCACTATTATCTAAGTACATCAAGAGGAAAACTTGGCCAAGACCTTTGGCCTAAAGTGAGCCCCTGCCCAGATCTACTCTCTCCGCAGAGAGTTGCACCCCGTGTCCCCCATGTCTGTCAGGACACATCCCCCAGGTCTGCGGCCCACTTGTGAAACCTCAGTAACTTTCTCACCTACAGAATCAGGCTCCCCGGGTGCTGAGTACCTATCCAATCTGGGTGCAGATTTGATGGGAATAAAGCCATCCTGTAGACTAGGCTACGTCCATAGCACATACTGCTTGAAGGTGAAGTCACTCAGTCGTGTCCGACTCTTTGCAACCCCATGGGCTGTAGTCTACTAGGCTTCTCCATCCATGGGGTTTTCCAGGCAAGAATACTGGAGTGGGTTGCCATTTTTACAAATGCCAGGGAGCTGAGACACCATGTGAATAAACACTACTTGACAATCGTGCATGGTTTATCCCAATGCAGTTTCACGGCCTTCACAACAGGGTCGAGCCCACTTTCCACCTGGGGAAACTTAGGTCCCTGGAACCATGGATTCTGTCCCAGGTGAAGAGTGCCCTCAAGTGACAACATATAAGCTCCTAAGACTATCCCTTGTGCCAAACACTTCTGCAGAAGTCGGCCACCAGAACATCCTGAGCCCCAAGCCCTACCATGCTGCTCAGGGTCCGCCCTCCCGGAACTCAACCCGGTCTACACAGCAGTCGGCCCCCAGACTCTTCTTCCTCTTTCCCCACCATCCAACAATTCCATTCACTGAGGATGGGAACTCCACCCTAGACACCGCCTTTCCAAGCGCAGCCACCTCAAGACTACCCATCTTAAGTCAGCCCCATGCAAACGTCCCAAAGCCAGGGTATGGAGGAAAGGCGTTCTCTCCTGGAATGAGAACTGTACTTCGGCCAAACCTGAGCATCACAGGAGGACAAATTCTCCGTGAAAGCAAACAGAGACACACACTACTGAAAATGCAAACTTGACAACAAAAGATAACCTTTAAAAATGAGCATCTCTAACGTAAGACCTATCTGAAAAGATCTCTTAAAACCATTTGCGCACATGCTAATTTTGGTGTCATATCACTTTTCTCTTCTTTCAACTATAATCATAATATTACTTTGATGTTATGACTACTCTAAGCTGTACAAAACTAACTAGTGCTCTTCCCTGTTCTTGGGACCACCGCCTTTGCTGCAGCAATCTCTCTGAAGACTTACATGTTCTCAGTATTCCCCCAGCAGCTTAAAACTGAGACTCTGGTACCTTCATACAAGTAAATTAATCACAATAACATCAACATCTCTTTACAAAACCATCCTGACAAAGACATCATAACTGAATCTGCTGAAACCAAATTCAACAGGAGCTCACAGTGGGCTGGGAGGATGAAACACGCAAGGCCGCAAGGCCGGCCGCCTTGCCGGGCCCTCAGGGACTCAGCGAAGCCTCTGTCCCTCTGTTTCCATCACCACCACCCCCCACGGTGAGGCAGGCCTCTCTCACCCACACTCCAATTGCCAACAGTCTGTTATTTCACTTGACACCTATGTGTAGCTTTGAAAACCCTGCCCACCCCTAACCTCTGAGTACTAACCAGAGTGCATTATCAGCCAGGCGATAGCTATTTTCACAAGTTAATTCCACCTCCGCTTTATACATTTTTATGATGAGAGCTTTCAATGAACAGGAGACCTCAAGTAGAACTTAGTATCTTCTAATCGATCAATTACATGAGGCAACTAGAATATTCATAATCTGTCACTTTGATTTATAGAATTTGTACTATTTAAAAGAAAGTACTTTGTTTTTGGGGAACTGGTAGTAGTTTTAACTATGCTTGTTCTGCTCCTGCTTTTATTAAAATGATGGAATAGAATTAATCAGAGCTCCAAATCAGCGGATCGACTGTGGGGGTAGGGGAAGCATGAAGAGATGGATGTGAATTTTTTATTTTCTAGAAAGCATTTGGCCCCTTTAAAGCACAGCTCTCCGCATTTGTCACCCAAATGTCAACATGAGCTGTTCTCTGCTCACACACATACACACACGGGACTACCGCAAAGACTCATGAGAACTCATGCATATAGTCAGCACTTTTAGTTTTCTTCAAGGAGTCGCCTACTTGTCACATGCAGACATCCTTAACACCGCCGGTAGAACAGGAGATGAAAGTGCGTCCAGGGTCAATCATGACAAAGCTGACAGAGGTGCCCTTTCAGAACCACAGCTTCCTCCCCCAGAAGGCGGCAGGCAGTGAAGGCTGCACCTATGCAGAGGCGAGGGGATCCAGTCAGCCCCAAACCGCCACACCTACAGGCATCACACGCGTGCCCCGCTGCGGCGAGGGGGGGGGCCTCCTCCCTGGGCACAGCGCCAGCCTCACCAGCTCCACTGACTCAAACTTCACTGACAGTTTTCAGAACAAAAGCGTCGTGCAGGGAACTGTCCGGGCCAGGAGTGGGGCAGGCGCTGAGGACCACTGAGGGAATACTTTAATGAGTAACTAAAAAGTATTTTGACGTTTTACATAACCTGCTGCCACCGTGACTTCTCTTTTTTAAACGCCACTAAAGATCAAACATATTTTCCACTAAAAGGTCAAAATACACATAATGAGCAAAACAGAACCTTTAATGAAACCCTCCTACAAACTCAAACACAAAGCGTGTTGTAAGAGGCACCCCCGCACCTCTCAGGTACCTATTTCACGTCACCTCTTCCTGGAAGCAGGGCAGCCCTCACGAGCACCCCCAAACACAGCACTCTTGGCTGGAACCTTGCCTCCTCCCTTCTGGGGTGTGAAATCAGATCCCTGTCAGGTGCCACCGCCGCTCCAAACCTCACGGCACTGTGACAAGACCTTCCTTCTAAGACGCTGAAATCCTCTCAAGGTGACCAACGGCTGCTTCAGAAGGCACAAGGGGACGCACACACAGGCAGTGCTGTCTCCACTACTCCTGCCGCCAGCACATGTTACTACACGGCAGGGGAGGAGCGGTCTGCGTCCACGCAGGCGAGGCCGGGGATGGAAGCAGAGACTGGGAGCCTCCAGTGCTGGGGTTTCTCTCTGCCCAGGAAGCCCGAAAGAAAGCAGTGGGATACACTGAATGCCGCAGGGACCTAGAAAGCCCTAAAAAGCTGCCCAGAAGACGGGAGATGGAGTGTGGGTTCAGAGACACTGCCTGACCTCCTACACCATCTGTACCTCCAAAGGACTCACTGACCAGGGAACCCCAGCCCACCGCTGACTGCATCAGCAACAATCAAAGTAACCCTGCGTCCTCCAAGTGAGGACTCCGTGCAGAACCACACAGCCACCACGAGAAGTGCTGAAAAACGACTGCAAGAGCCGCGTGAGGCAAGGGCTGTGACCAGGAAGGGTGTGTGTCCCAGAATCCCTACAAGCTCACCTGGGAACTCTGCCATCCTGGTGTCAGCAGGGGAGCAAAAGCTTTCCACGCAGGCTTGCCCAGCCTCCCGGAGGGGGCGTCACTCCCCTGACCTCACCGGGAAAGGGAGTCCCTAGACCACCGGAAGGGGACACCAATCACAGACCAGCCCAGTAACAGAGCAGAAGAGTTCAGTGAGGACACAGACCATATGCCTGACCCCAGAAACCAGGGAGAGAAAAGCCAAGCGTGGGAAAGTCACCGGCCCAGACTAAATAACCCAGCAAGTTGTCCCCAGAACACCAGCTGCTGCTGCTGCCCACTGAGGGGGCACCGGGCAGGGACACACAGAGCCAGGAGAGGAGGAGAGGGCCCACTCGGCGGAAGTCCCGACAGAGAAAGCTCCCCAACGCAAAGCGGAGAGTAGAAGCCAAGCCTGGCACAGCGAAGAGGCCCCCGCAGCCACATCACGCAACACTCCAGCACATACACGCCGGGGACCGGCCCGGACCGGGGCAGAGACGCACCCCAGCTCGCGGCAGCCCGCGCAGGGCTCATGACCTCCGTGTCCTGCCAGCCCGACAACTTCCTGGACTCCCGGCTGGGGAGCACACACACACAGCCGCCCGGCGGCGCGGCCACTCACCTGGGGGCAGCTGGAAGTTCTGGATGTTGGTGGGGTTCTGCGGCGGCTGCGGCAGGCGTGGGGCGAGGACCGTGGGCGTCAGCGTGGCCCGGATCCCGCCGGTGGTGGCCGAGGGCGTCCTGGGCAGGCTCTGGGTCACCGCGCTGGCCGAGCCCTTGGGCAGCCCGGTGGGGGTGCCCGGGGCCGGCGGCGGGAGGCCGGCGGCGGCGGCGGCGGGCAGTGCCCCTTGCATAGTTGGCCCGAGGATCATGCCGGACCCCGCGCCGGCCGGGCAGCTGGTCGCCAGGGTCTGCGGCGGCGGGGGTGCCGGCTGCAGGGCGGTCTTGGGCGAGTCGGCCTTGGCCACCTGCGCGGGCGCGGCGGCGGGCCCGGGCTGACTGTTGGCGGCGGGCGCCGGGGCGGGCGCGGGCGCGGGGGCCGGGGCGGGCGCGGGGGCGGGCGTGGGGGCGGGCGCGGCGCTGCCCCCGTTCTGCGCGGCCGCCGGTGGTCCGGCCGGGGGCCCGGGCGGCCGGGCCAGGCTGCCGGCCGCGGGCGGCGGCGGCGGCGGGGCGGCGGCGGCGGGCGCGGGAGGCGCAGGGGGCGCGGCGGGCGCAGGGGCCGCGGGGGGCGAGGGGGCGCGGGGCGCGGGCGCGGCGGGGGCGCCGAGGAAGGGCGGCGTCTGGATGACAGTGGCGGCGGCGGGCTTGGGCGGCGGCGGCGCGGGCGCGGGCCCGTTGTGGAGCAGGCTGACAGCAGGTGCGGCGGCGGCGCGGAGCGAGTTCCCCAGCGCGGCGCTCCCATTCAAAGTTTGCGCGGCGCCGGGGCCGCCGGGCGGGCCGTTGCGGGCGACGGGCTTGGCGGCGGGCTCGGGCGCGGCCGCAGTCCCCGGCGGGCAGGCCCCGGCCGCGGCGCCCGCTCCGGCTCCGGCCCCGGCGCCCGCGCCGGCCTCGAGCGCGCTCAGCTTCGCGGCGGGCCCTGCGGAGACAAGCGGGGCGGCGCGGTGAGGACGCGGGCCCGGCCAGCGGCCGCCCGCGCTCAGGCCGCGCCGCGCTCTACCTGCGGGGGGCGGCTCCGGCGCCGCTGCGGGCGCGCCCTCGGCCGGCACGGCTCCGGCTCCGACATGGTTCCCGAGCGCGCCGGCGGCCGCGGCCCGCGCCTCGGGCGCGCGGGGCGCGAGGTGGTGGTGGTGGGCCGCGCTGGCCGCCAGCTGCGACTCGAGCGAGCCCACCAGGTCGCTCACCACTTTCTCGTCCACCTCGCTGTTGAAGAAGACCTCGTCCAGCAGATCCGAGCCCGCCGCCATCTTTCCTCCTCGGCCCGCCGCCGCCGCCGCTCGGCCGGCGCTGGGCGGGGAGGAGGCTCCGCGCGGGCGGGCGGGCGGGCGGGCGGGCGGCCGCGGGGGCGGGCGGGGGGCGGCGCGCGCCGGGCGGGGCGGGGGCGGCGGCCGGGCGGGGGGCGCGGGCGGCCGGGCGGGGGGGAGGGCGGTGGCAACGCGGTGCGCAGGCGCGGCGGCGTGCCCGCCCCCGCCCGCCGCCCGGCGCCTAGTCATTGGCCGCGGCGCCCCCCTCCCGGCTGCCCGGCGTCCCGCGATTGGTCGCGCTTTGCGCTTAAAAGGCGCGGCCAATGGCTGCGAGCGGCAGAGGCCGGGGCGCGGGCGGGCCGCCGGGGGTCGGCGGGCTAGTGGGCTGGGGGTCGGGGAGTCTTTGGGCTGGCGGGGATGTCGGGGTCCAGGTTGCCGGACGAGCCAGAGGCCGACGACCCAGAGGACAAGACGGGCGGGGACTGCGGCCGGGGCTGGTGGGGGCGGCAGCAATGACTAGCTCTTTGTCTCCGCTTGCTCCAAAATGGCTGCGGCCGGAGCTGACGGGATCGCCGGGCGGGCGGTCGAGGGAGCGGGGACGCCTATATCGGAGCCAAAGCTGCCGCAGCCCGCGGGAACCCGGCACCCCGTGAGGGCACTGCCTGGGGGCCGGATCAGCGAGGTGGCCTGGGCGTCGTCGCCATTGCTCCCGGGCGGGCGCAGGCCCCGAAGCTCGGGGCACCGGGCGTGGCGAGCGCGGGCCTGCCCCCCGGACCGGCGCCTCGGTCAGCCCGAGACCGGGCGTCTCACGCCGTGAGGGCCGCTGCTTGGGCGGCGGGGGCGGGGCAGGGGTCGGCGCCCGAGGCCACACCAGGGTGACTCATCTCCTCCGGCGGCGCGGCCCCTGGCCGCGAGTGTCTGTAAATCACTGGGTGAGACGGCGGTGCCGGCCGGGACCAGCAGCTCGCGTAGGGAAGGGGAGCGTCCAGCTTGGAGGTCTTCCTGGGGTCCTTATTTCCCGTTCTGTCTTTTTGACGAAGTAAGTTATTTAAAATAACCTTACGAGCACCTTCTCTAGGAAGAATTCACGTGAAATTCTGCGGTTTTTTTTTTTCACCGAAAGATGGTATTCTGGGACATGTCTAGTGGTTTCTTTTCTTTTTTGGGGGGGGGGGGCAGACCTAGAGAAGAGCCTCTGGCCGAACAGGCCGCGCCGCAGTCACACGGCCCGCAGCACAATGCGGGAAGCTGTTGACACACAAATGATCTTTTCTACCCGCCTAACAAAAGAGCCGGCGGCCCCGGCGAGCCCAGCTCCCGGGGCGGGTTCAGACAATGAGCGCGGGGGTTGGAGCCTGCGAAGGGGCCTCCCCGGGCTACCGTGTCGGGGAAACCCTGCAAAGAGAGAATCGGAATTTTGCACCTGAATATGACTATCCAAAACACAGGAAAGGAAAGGGGTGGAACAAACCTGGGCTTGGGGGTACCCTGAACTCGGGGTGTCTGGGTCCCATCCCCACCGCGCTTTGAGCCCAGCGGGGGCCGACGATCTGGTTTGCGAGCAAGAGCAGAAATGTGGGAATATGTGTAAAATCTCATCTTTAATGTTGACAACTCATCAGAAAATGTTAAGTGAGCCAAACAAAAGCAGGCCCCGGGTGCCGTAGTGGGAAACAGAGGGTACACCGTGGTCTGCACTCAAAACACCCAGATCGGAGTCGGGGCAGAAGAGTGACAGCCGTGCTACGAGGCAAATAACTGGCTGAAGCGAGACGGTGAGGCCCGGGGCGGGAAGGGGGGGGTCCGCCCCTCTAGTTACTGGGATCTAAAGTGAAGGGAGCAGGTGGTACGGTGCCGGGCCCCTCCTGCTTCCCCACAGAGGCAACCCCCGGGCCCCTCCCCCACCCAGGCCTCCGCGCCGCAGCGGTGCTGACATCACCCCCAGCGTCCTCCGAGGCGCCCTCCGGTCCAGCAGGAAGTGTGGGAGGTGAAGCGTCGGTGCACCGTCTTCCCTCCCCACCCCGCTCCGCCGCGACTCCGCTTCCAGACGGGGTCTCTGCGCCCCAAGGGAAGGTGGGGGCTACCGACGGCTAAACAGCTCTTTCGCCTCGGACGCCCTCCAGAGATCTGCCCCCCTGAAGGGTGGGGGAGGGGCGGTAGCCACGTGGCTCCTCCCCTCCTCCCTATGGAGGGCGGGGAGATGCTGCCAGACTGTTAACCTTGGCCACCCTGGGGACTCGGAGCATTTTCTTTGAATCTCTGCTTGGTTTTGTTCCCACAAGAAGCTTCCGTATGACTTAGTAGTTTGAAACAAAAATTCCACCTAACATGAAAAGAGAAACGGGCCCGAAAACGAGTGTAAATATACACAACAGGTTTAAACAGAAAAATGTTTGCTGTTAAGTGAGAATGGCAGAACCCTAAAACAGTATATCGTCGCCACCCACAGCGGTGCAAACGTGCAAGGCCATGAGCAAAAAGGAGACCTCCCAGGCTGGCGGCTATGTGGGACTATCGGGTTTATTAAGCGGTATATTGTCTTTTCAATAACATAGAGAAAACATCAGACACGCTCTCTTAAATATAAGAATAAACATAACCACAAGTCAATAATTTCAGTGTTGCCCTCGATTTGTGAAAGATATGCAGCATTTGTTATATTATCTATGCTTTTGTTGTCTGCCTGAAATACCACACAATAAAACAGTTTTTTTTAAAAAAAGACATACAGCCAGGTGGCAGTTGGTGACCCGGCCCTGGTCCCAACCAGCAACACAGCATCAGTGCGCTGTGCTCTGGTCAAGAATGGCTCCACATCCCAGGGGCAAGCTCAGGAACACATACCTGATTGTAAATGCAGCTCCATGAATTTCTTAGGGCCTCGGTAACATCACAAACTTGAGGGCCTAAAACAATAGAAACTTGTTCTCACAGTTCTCGAAACCAGAATCCAAAATCAAGGTGTCAGCAGGGCCACACTGTCTGGAGAATGCAGGAAGAATTTCCTGCCTCTTCCAGCTTCTGGTGGTCGCAGGCATTGTTGGCTTGCAGCAGCATCACCAAATACCCTGATACAGAACTAAGAAGGAAGAGAACAAGACCTACAGACCAAAAAATTGTAAAACATGATTGAGAGAAATTACAGAAAAAATAAATACATGGAGGGATATACGAAGTTCAAGAATTGAAAGACTCGATATTGTAAAACTATCATTTCTCCCCAGGATAATCTAAATTCCATACAAATGGATTTTAAGATCCCAGACAGGATCCTTTCACAGAAACGGACAAGCTAGGCTTCCATTTCCAATATGTAAACTATTGAACTGACCTCCCATAGATAGCACTATGAACTCTGGACAAAATACAAAATAACCCTTAACCTGGAGCCCCTGTCATGAGCACAGGCAGATGCTGGAGAGGAGTCAACACTCAGGAAAAGAGAATGGCAGGGTGAGCTGCCTGTTTTCACAGCTTCCACTCTAACTGCAGATTGTTGTTGTTCAGTCACTAGGTCACGTCCAACTCTTTGTGACCCCATGGACTGCAGCACGCCAGGCTTCCCTCTTCTATCGTCTTCTATCTCTTCTATCTCCTGGAATTTGCTCAAATTCATGTCCATTGAGTCAGTGATGCTATCTAACCATCCCATCCTCTGCCGCCCCCTTCACCTTTTGTCTTTCCCAGCACCAAGGTCTTTTCCAAAAAGTCAGCTCTTCCCATCAGGTGGCCAAAATATTGGAGCTTCAACCTCAACAGATAAACACCAAGGAAACACCCCCAGGCCTGCTGGCCTGAGAGCCAGGAGATAGAGTTGGGGCAGTGATACCCTGTGGAAAGTATTTGGGGTCATCCCAGAAAGGAAGGAGTGAGAGAAGGGGAGACCCCAATTCTACTTATAATCTGGGCCTAAATCTCCAGGTGACATTGGAACATAGGTATAGGACAGACTCTAAGCATCTTGGCTAAGAATGAAAGAACTGAGATGAGATCTGAGCTGCTGTCCAAGGGAAGGTGTTTACTGTCAGTCCCACCAAGTCATCTGCTGTGTGCTAACACAAACACAGAAATAATAAAATCAACACTCTGAGTTAGTGTAGGAGAATCTAGTGTCAACACAAAATAACACAATATCCAGGACACAATCTGAAATTACTAAATACAGAGAAAAAATTACTAAATAAAGAGAAGGAGACTATAAGCCATCCTGGGGTGGGGGGGGGGGAATGGCAATTGATCCTTGATATGATCCAGATAACAGAATTAGCAAAATAAAATTTCAAAGTATTACAATCACTCACATAAAGAAAAACATACTTTAACAAGTGAAAAGATTTTTTGAAACTCAACAGCAGACTTGAGACGTCCCTGGTTGTCCAGTGGTTAAGACTCTGAGTTTCCACTGCAGGAGACACAGTCTCGATCCCTGGTCAGGAACTAGAATCCCACATGCCACACGGTGAAGCCAAAACTAAATAAACAAGTTAAAATTTTCTAAACACAAGGTTGGGCTTCCCTGGTGGCTCAGACGATTAAGAATCTGCCTGCAGTGTGGGACACCCAGGTTCTATCCCTGGGTTGGGAAGATCCCCTGGAGGAGGGCACGGCAACCCACTCTATTCTTGCCTGGAGGATCCCATGGACAGAGGAGCCTTGCGGGCTACAGTCCATGGGGTCACAGAGAGTCAAACACAACTGAAGTGACTTAGCACACACAAACATACAGTTAACTGAAACCAAACAGAAGAGTAGAATGACAAAGGGAAATAAGTCAGTAGACTTGAAGGTATATCAATAGAATTTATTCAATCTGAAAAAGAAGGAGTGGGGAATAAATTAAAAGAGCATAAGGGATCTCTGTAATACTGAATAGTATTTAAATATAAACATCTGTGCAACCAAAATCACAAAAACAGAGGAAAGGATAAGGCAAAAAAGAGTATTTGAAGAAATAATTTCCAGAATTTTCTATATTTGGTGAAAGGCATATATTTATATACTTGAAGAATTCCAGAATCCCCCAACTAAGATAGAATCAAAGAAAACCATGCACAAGCAGAGCACAGTCAAACAGCTGGCAACCAGATGTAAAAAGAAAAAGCTAATGAGTAGCTGCAGGAGAGGGCTTCCTAGGAGATGAGGGTTCGATCCCTGAGTCAGGAAGACCCCCTGGAGAAGGAACTGGCAACCCACTCCAGTATTGTATTCTTGCCTGGGAAATCCCATGGATAGAGGAGTCTGGCAGACTATAATCCATGGGGTCACAAAAGAGTCAGATACAACTGAGCAACTAAACAACAACAGCTGCAGGAAAACAACACATCTCAAACAGGGAACAGTGAGATGACACGGTTGACTTTTCCCCAAAACTATGGAGACCAGAAGAAAATGGACCAACACCTTCAAGTATTGAAAGAAAGCCCATGGACCCTTTTGTAGAACGTCAAACTTTCAAACTGTCCAGAATGAGGGTAAATAAAGATATTGTACTGTACAAGAAAATTAAGAGAATTCATCACTAGCAGACCTGAACTATAAGAAATGCTGAAAGAAATTCTTCAAACTGAAGGAAAGTGATACCAGATAGACACTAGTCAACAGGAAAGAATGACAAGCATCAGAAACAGTAAATACCAGAATAAATATGAAAGAATATTTTTCCTCTTCATTTCTCTAACGTACATGTCTATTTAAAGCAAAATTATAACACTGAATTGTGGGAGGTTTTCCTGCATTTAAATATACTATAGCAAAGTTATAGC